AAAACCGCGAAACGAGGGGTCGACACAACGTCAATGAAGGTAAATCACGCGTTAAGTGCTGAACCATGTGCAGTAAAGATCATAACTGTCACCTGCCGTTACGGCACCTTCGCATTTTACGCTGTCAGCGTAATCCCGACTGCGCCATCGTTAGATAAGAGATACACACTCCAGCCAGTCTTGTAGTACACGAGCATTATCTCGTAAGGCGTTTCTCACCTCCTTTCCCGGCAATTAAACGATTAAACGCAGGAAACGATTATGCCAACGTGCCTGCGGACCAGAGCTAGGCAGTGATTACATCGTGATTAATTTGTGATTGTTACACTGCGAATTCCGTGCACTCGTGGCGAGCACGAAGGCGAAAAATGTGCGCATAAATTGTTTCGGGAGCTTTTTCCCCAGAAACCATTTCATTATTGAAACAAAAGTAATTACTTAACTAGCATCGCTTGAACTATACACTTCGAATGTTCAAAAATGTTCTAGTCGTGTCGTTTCCCTTGTTAGTAATCATAACCCGGGATGAATTTCTTGCCAACGTAGTTACAGACGCGAGGAGAATCTCGAGCTGTAAATTTGCGAATAGAGGAAGAAGTACAAGGTAATAAAATGAGCTCGGAAAACTTTGAGGAATAATTTGAGTGCAGTATTCTCTCCCAACCACCGCTGTTTCGCGAAGACCAGTGCGCAGGACTAGTCTTCAGCAAATACTTATCAAGCTGACCTCATTAAACTTTGTACACAATAAGCAGCTTTGGAAAATTAAAGCCTCCATGCGACGAGAGCCGCCTAAGGGCGCGTTCTGTAATCACCTGCCTTCACCTCGGCTCTGTCTTTTTCCTACCACTGGAAATAACGAATTTATCGCGACCAGAGATGGACGAAATTTTGTCGAAACAGCAGATAACGAATGTACCTATAGGATATTATTTCACATTCATTCGATTGGTACAAGAATACGTGGATTTTCCATTTCCAGTTCTGTGTACATCACGTTATCCCTAAAATTTATACGATTGCTAATAATTTTAGAAAATTGTATCTCTATAAAAATGTCCAGATTCCAAGCACGACGAGCGTCGATTCATGGACGACAATGTACACGTCGATTTTAAGCCGGAAAGTAAGCTATCTGGGGAACGAATGCTGAAACGAAAAAGCAATCTCCTAGGTATAATCTCTTAGATCGATGCCTGTCCCGGTCTGTCGTTGCAAGTTTTGCAACAGTTTCGTCGGTTTCGTGTATACATAGAAATCCGAAACGGAGGAGTTCTGAATAATCGAAAGACTCGTCGTTTGACGACGATGCGAGGGAACTGAGCAGTGCATAGCCGTAATATCCTGGCAGGCTTACGCCCTGTTCTAGTTCGTCCTTAACCCTTTGAGGAGGATTTGCTTCTCCGAAATTACGATGATCGTAATACACGGGACTGCACAGGACGTTCGTGTGTGTGCGCGATTTCTCAACGGCAGGCGAGAAAACTTTCCTCGTTACCGGAATACTTTTGAAACCATTCCCCTGATAACCGGCTGAACTTTCGATGTTCCCGGGCGAATTATGTGAAGCGCGCATCGGGCGACGATAGTAATTGTTTCAGCGTAATTGGATGGCGGTTTTATTTTACGCTTGAACCGCGAACTATATTCAAGTATTTGCGGACCTGTTCAACGCGAAATCGTTAAATTTTTAATTGGGAAACACTATCGGCATTTAAAACCAGCTTCAAAATAAATTCTTACGATTCATTGATTATTCAACAAATATAGTATAGTAATATAATAGAAACGGGAACCATTGTTTCCATCATTAGACTTCACAGAAGCGACAATATACTTTCAATTTAAATTTAGATTCAAATTGAAATGTATAAAAGTTGATTAGATATAGATGGAACGGTACGACGATTTCTCTCTAGCAAAAACCCTACAGAACGAGCAAACGAAATTTTTTTAGGAAAAAAATTTGTTACTTTTCTGGGCGAATTTATATACAGAGCGAATTCAATAAAGTGGAATCGTAAAATGTGAGTAATTAAGTATTGAGTTTCATTCTCTCGTACAACGATTTCTATTTAAATAACGATGTCAAGCTGAATATTCCGGGTAGCATCCAATAAGTGAACGTAATTCAACAAGGAGGAAATATAGTTCCTACGGAGGAAAAAGCCACAAAGGAGTCCACGATCGGTGCTCCGTGCAGCATTCCAGGTCGCAAAATGATCTATTCCGGCGCAACGAGTATTTGCATAATAAGGAAGTATATAATTCAGTTGGAGCGAAATTTCAGCGACGTTCCACCAGCTATAATGGCCCCGTCGAACGGGCTCTTAGCTCTCCGAACTAGTTTGTTAAGATCCAGCCAAGATATGAAACGGCGACCATAACGTTATCCCCTGATCGCGGAGGAGACATCCTCTACGGGTTCATGGCAATTCCCATTTGCGAGAGTAAGAATGGAGGGTCGAAGATCGGAGAGGCGAGGCTGGAGAAGGATGCTGCGGATAGCCGTTTCCAATTAAGCTTTCACCAGTGTTGGTGGCGCCATTCCTCCCCTCGAAAGGGTTCGGGTGTAGATCTACATCTGCGTTCGTTGCACGTACGCCTCTACGGTTCGGCGTTGTACATACAGGTAGCTTCGCGTAGTACAAAGAGTTTCTTGCCAGCGCGCGCTTCAATAGCTTCCCTTGGGAATTCTCGGAACATCGGTTGCTCGATTCGCGTCTAAGAAGACCGATGGTTGAAACAATGTCAAAGGAAATTAGGGGTCGCGTAATGAAGTCGACATTTTAGCGTCGTACGTGATTTGCATATCGCCGAGGGCTTTAATAGATTCGAATATCAGCCACGATCTCGTCGGGCGATGCATTACGTTGAATTGGGACACAGACCAGGGACCGTCGCGTTTCATTCGCTGGTTAGCGAAGTTCCACTCTGGGAAAAGGAACATACGCAGAGGGGATAAAGTAATTGAAAATTGAAAAGAGAAAACTGAATTACAGGAAAAGAGACTTCGTCGGTGGATCGTCTCAATTTATCATTTTTATCTCGGTCGTATCCAGTAGCTTTTTGCAACGTTAACTATGGTTTACGTATCAAGTGGACCAAGCGAAGGTTGTAAACGAGCCAGCACCTAATTCACTTGGCTAGCACGTCGATTGAAACGACGACGAGGCTAGAAGTCGAGAGTTCGTCTTTGCCTTTTCAACTTCGTGTTCGATGTATTCAGAAAGACACGAGCAAAGTTCGCATAACTTCTCGCTGATCGAGGGGAACTGAAGTTTCCTGCAACTCGTAGCGGTCTGGTGTCTGCAGCGACGGGACTGATAAACACACAGACACGCGTGTACTCGCTTGAAATATTGGATGGTATGCCGGCACGAGAAGATAGGTCCTTTTCAGGTGGAATCCAGGATTACAGGAAACACCCAGGATTACGATGGTCGGTGGTTTCTGGAGTGTCATATCCCTGGAAACTGGTTTCATTCGGACGAATTAGATGGAATCGCAGTAATTACTGCGATTAGACTGGGATAAGCATTAAACCGGGTCATCGTAGGCGGTCTTCGAGCCACAGATAGATTGATTGATAGCGATCGCATCTAATTCTGATTCGAACGCCGATTATCCAGTTTTCGAACGTCTTGAGGTAGACGAGGGAGTCAGCTAGTTGAAGTACAAACACGAATCGCGAATCACAAACCGTGAGACTTACTCAATGTTTGATCCCAGAAAATGGCAGCTCGAATAGGTTAAAAATACAGGGTTTACAATGATTACAACGATTTAAAGTAAAATGTTGAATAAAATAGCCTCGATGCTTTCATCAAACTAATAATTATTAATGATTATAAGCGTATTAATAGAAATAGATTGAAAATGGGTGCGAACCTAAAATAGGAATTTGGTCGCTCCATTGTATTTCACAGTGAAGAACAAAAATTTGAGCGAATGGCGCCGTCTGTTCGACGGAATTAATAAAAGTCACCGAGGCGTGGCAGGTTCAGCAAATCCGAAGCGCGTCGCGAGTTTCCAAACCGGGCACGATACTTTTGATACGCGTACCAACGTATTTACAGCCGAGTCGCATCTGTTTCACAGGAAACTCGTCGTTGCTTCCCCGCTTTACGACGAGTGGCGTGTACTCCAACGTGTACGCGGACTTCCGCGAGTTAAGCACGAGCCATGCTCGACTCGCATGCCCGTGAAATCTGGAAGTCAATTTGCTTTATTTTTCCATAATCCGTGCGTTCGTGTAACGAACAACTGGGATGCCGGCGTGGCATGTTTGAGCGAACCTCGGAGTTTTTATTCGATGCCGTGGCATGCGCTGTGTCAGGAAACGCAAGAAATTAATAAACATCTCTTAAAGGCTTAGAGGGTGCCCTTTTTACGTTTTTACTATGGATGCAACATAATTTTTATTTGCTTCGAATAAGTACAGGATTTTTAGTGGGTGGTCATCCCTAATCCATCAAGGAAAATTGGATTTCCCCGAATAGGTACATCGCTTCTCGAATTTGTCAATCTATATCGAATGGGAAGAGGATAATTTTAGGAACTCTGAGAATAGACGGTGGCGCAGCGACGGATGCCAGACAAATTGAGTAAAGTTTCGCGGTCAGTACGGTCACGAATGAAAATTGCCTCGAAATTAGGGTACGCTAATGTCCACCGTAATTGATATTGGACGCAAGCGCAGCTTACTATCCTGCTCTCATTGCCTGATATGATTCACGCTGTTTCCTATACATTGTTACCGTAAGTGGCCCAAATGGTTTTAACACCTATCCTACCATGAGTCGTTTACACCGCCAAATTATTCTGCCACATCTCTTGGCTACCAGTACGTCTAATTCTACTTTTTTTTTTTCTTTTCAACAAACTCGACCCTTCGCACGAATTTTATTTTATCCTTTGTTGAATGATCGATAGCCAAACCGAACAGCAAATAAATGTGAGTACATTCCACGGTGACTCTCATCTGTCTCTTGTTACAGATTACATGGGTGAAGCGGAGGGACAGACGGTTATTAACTGTCGGCACCAGTACCCACTCGATCGACAATCGATTTGTCGTAATGCATTCGAGCACTGATTGGGCACTTCAGATACGAGCTGTTACTCCGCAGGACGCGGGTATATACGAATGTCAGGTATACTCAGCGATGAATCCACGTGTAATAAAAGACGCGTTTCTACGTCGCGATAGTGCTTCACTCTCCTGCAACATTCCGCCATGCATATCATTCACTCGGCCGTAAACCCGTGACCGTATCCCAAATTTACGACGCAATTTTACCGTGACTTTTATGAAACATCTTTCTGCGTTCACAATAGCAGAAAACAGAACGAAACCACGATTTGAATCCGACGCGAAGAATGCGGTCACGCCATATCCTTAAATATCGAGTCGTGGTCATTTAATTATTTATTCGAAACTGCGGTCAAATCTGGTCAGAAATATCACCTAAAATGTCAGCTACAGTAATAGGCGCATGAACAAGGGAAGGCACAAAAGGTTAAAGAAGACGTGCCGTTAACCTCGGTCACGATCCTTCTACTAAATGTCACCGATCAGTTGTGATAAAAGTAACGCTCACCGTGGCTATCATTAGCATTATTAGCTTTCGGATATGTACAATACTAAAAAGTAGCACTCGGAGTAAACAGTCTTAAGTGATTCCATTTTAAGAAAAGATAACGCATTTGTACTAAGCTTAATTAAATCTGAAAATCTTTAAAATAGATTAATTAATAAATTTGTTAATGTAGGAGTAATGTTGTATTATCATTAATTTTTATGTATCATCCGATGACCTAGTAAATGGTCGAAAGCGTTCATATCCGCATTGCGCAAACACGTTCGTAAATCCTCGTGCCACGGCACCGTTCGCCATTTATTATTCGTTTAAAATTGATTTCACCTCCGCTTGGAACTAGTATTTCCGATAGATCATTAAGACGCTCGTCTTAGATGGTTCCGCGGCGTGAATTTACACGTCGTGGAGCAGACATGATAATCAAGCCCGAATCCTGGGGAAAGCAACTAGTCGCGTCGAAATTTCAGGTTACGTCGCATCCGGTTCAACGGAACTTCGTGCGCTTGAAAATCACGGAGGCGTACTCGATCATACCGGGAGCGCCTGATTTACATGTGAAGCAGGGCTCGAGTCTTCAGCTGGAGTGTCAACTGATGGCGGCCGCGGAATCGCCTCTCTACGTCTTCTGGTATCGTCAGGGTCACATGATCAATTACGACGAGGAGCCAGGCGTGAAAGTCGAGCTGACGAAGAGTGGATCGATTTTAATGGTCAACAAAACGAAGCCATCGCACGGCGGAAATTATACGTGCGAGCCGAGCAACGCAAAACCAGCATACGTGGTGGTTCACGTGATCGAGGGTGAGCGAAATCAATTTAATCCCTAATGTTTATTTCCATGTTTCGTCTAATTCCCTTGCGTATTTTTTTTTCAATACGTTTCAGCTTCGAGCAATTTTGTATAGTTATTTAAATATCAGTCGTGTTTTCGACGATTTATCACGGTGCAGCACTCGTAATCGCGATAAATGCAATTCTTTGGTACGATCGTTGAACTATACTATACGTCAAACTGTTTACATTCCAATGTATGTTACTGTTAAAGACCCTGGAATGTGTAAAAAGAAATTGGTTTTTCCAAAATGCTGGGCTAGAACAACCCCTTAAAATAAAAATGGAATGAATGGCTGTCACTCTCCTTGTTAGCACGCGGTGTCGAACGACGTATAGCTGGGGATTGGAAAAAGCTCTGGGTTCGTGAACCACCGGTGATATTTCTGTGGTTTAATAGATATCCGAGCTAGCGAAGGGTGTGACAAGCGGAGCCGAGCATCTCCTCTCTCGAACGCGCGCGTCTTTTCGGGATCGTCGCGCACGTGATCGGACTGCGTCGTTGGATGTCGCAAGAGAGAGACAAAGGACCGAGGAAAGGAGGCAAACCGTGTCGCGTCTTGTGCTTCGACTCGCAGTGTCCGAGCAGGTCGAGCTCGTTTAAAACGTGGTAGTTGCCCTCTGGGGCATTTTACTGCTCCTTTGCGAGTGCCTCCCTTCTTTTTCCTTGCTACTCTAGAGACGTCTGGCCTCACCTGCATCAGTAATTCTTAACCACCGTGTCGCAACAGATCCGATAAATTCTTATTTTTTATAGTTTGCAAAACAATCATTGCAATTCAATGCAGAAACATCGGGGAAACCTCGCCCCTCTATCAAACTCTATCGAAGAAGCAAACTGTCACACGTGAATAAATTTATTTCCTCTTATCGATAAGAAAGTTTTTATTCATATTTAACTCTTACTCCTTTCTCGCGTTTTTTTTTTTTTAAATATTTTTGTTCCCCTGTGTCATATCAAACATACCTCCGCGTTACTTTTAATTTCCGTAAAATTTTCTTCAGGCATGCATTAAGAAGATGACCGCGAGATGCTTCCGTTCGAGTCTTAATTGATTATCAAGATCGCGTTGCAAGGAAGACGTCGTTCGAACCGTGTCGCGGAGAAGGTTAAGAACCACTGCTCTAGACTATTCCGCAGAGAGCAGGGTTCTTTTCGCCGAGAATAAAGTTGGAGTTTCTAATCTCGTTTCAGAAGAGGAGAAACCGGCGGCGATGCACGGGGGCGACAGAAGGAACCTTAGCCCCGCAATTTTGGCGAGCAACTTTCTGGTGTCCCTTTTGGCGACCGTCAGCTGGAGGATACCGAGTTTCACCAGCCTCTACCCGACGTGAATCACCGTTGAACTTACGGCAGCTCGTGCCGTTAGCCGCGCCACCGCAACCAGGTCCACCTTCTTCCGCAAGGACGACCCCGGCGATCGCTTGGATCTTCGGGGCTCGTCTTTCCACTCGCAACTCCGACCCCACGAGGACGATACTGACAAGGACCCTTCGAGCGAGAGTGTGCGCGAACATGTAAAACGTGGAAATTGCGAATCAACGCCTTACTTGCGACGGAGGAGAGACTTTGTGTTCTCCAGGCGTCTGTCGCGAGGAAACAGCGACTCCTGCACCCTCCTCGAGAGGAATCAGGCTTGATCGCGATCTCAAGACATTGTTTAACGGCGAATACCTCTTGGTTTCCTTCCCTCGATGTCCTATCAGTTCTCCAACCCCCTTCGATTCTTCGCGACACAAGAATTTGAGTATTTTCGAGACCCTTCTGGCGGACTACGTGAGAATACGGTACTCTGACAAGGTGGTGCGAATATGCGGGGCGGATTGTCGGAGCGGTGACTGACGATGATCGCTGTGTTTGGATGGACGTTCTCTGAGTGATCAAACGAGCAGCTACCGTACTGAAAAGAGTTAGGGGGCAGTCTGGTGGATCAAAATAATATTCTTTTACAAATTACCTGGATGATTCGAGTCCTAGAAGCATGATCCTGGAACGATTGTGGTAATATACAGAGGGTTGGTATCGGACTTTCAATCGAACTCTCTGCGTGGTCTAATATTGTAGGCCAAAACTTTAAAGCTTTTCTTGAAACGTCATTTTTTTACACGGTGTGCATGACAATTCGAAAATTATTCGTCACAGTGTCTAAAAAATATCTCATTATACTACATTATGAAATTGTAAAGAAACATTTACAGCCCAAACTACCAGTCTGCCCTCGTAATCTGGGAATTTCTTTATCTCGAGCAACCGTGGGCGCGTTCGGAGTAACGATTACCCTCCCGTTCTGGAATTGATCTAGGACTCCAAGATACGTTGTACGGTGAAAGGTGAGAGAGTGTGCCGTTGGGAGGATCGCGCGAACCGGAAGTTCCTTCCTCCTTCTGTCCTACTTTCGCGTCGCAAGTAGGAACTGCTGGCTCGGGGAAGGCTTCTCTCTCGTCGGTATCTTTCAGTGTGCATGATGAGTGAATTGTTTTCTTCGTACGTGCATTATACATATATAAATACATACATATACAGATAAATATATATATTCGTTACGTACGCGTGAGGCACACAGAGAGCACCGGTTTAATCTTTCCACGCGATTACATACCAAACCACTGGATATTCGAGTAAATGTTTCGGATAAAACCAACCGTGATTCAAAAAGTGTATCCTGCGGTCTGCGAGGTTTCGTTCCAAACAGAGGCGCTTTCGGAGTTTCAAAGCCACTACCAATTTTTGTTAACAAAGTCATGCGCTTGGTTTAAGGAAAAAAGCATCGATTACAGGATAAACTGATAATTGAGGGAAAAAATGTTTGACTGTTTAGTGCTCTGACGTTTTTCAATGGTGTTTGAACACGTGTTAATTCTATATATATGCTCGATATGTCTCATCCGAAACTTTGTTCTAATGTGCTAGCAGTACGGATATACTTGCGAGAAAGTTTAAAATGGTACGCTCTTTATATGTGCACGCATAGGATGTAAGTTACTGCGTGGACTCGAGCAGGACGTCGTATGTATCGCTACGTGGAAGCGTATTCTCTATTACCCGCTTTCCTAATCTTCGGACGATGCACAGTGTACTTCTACATGAATTTATTTGATTTCATTGGGAAGCAAAACGATCGTGTTACAATTTTAGTTCATACAACACATAAAGGATTTAAAATATATATTATTGGCAATGTATCGATCGTTATTTTTTAAAGATTATGATTGATTTATTAAACCTAATATAACACACTGTGCGTCGCGGAAGATTCGTCGCGGTCGAGCATGGCGCGTACGCGATCGTCGTCGTCGCTCGTCCAGGTAAATGGAATCAATGTAAATATTACATTCTAACTATACATTCAATAAAACATTAATCGTGATTCAGCGAGCTACGATTCAATCGCGGCATCCACGCTCTGTTCGTCTGTGTTCCTCGTGAAACTGTTGTTTCCTCTTTAAACAGAGCCGGATGGTTTCGCATCCGTTGAAAAAAGAAGAGGAACCACGTCGAGTCAACTTCGTCGTTTATTTTCCCCGCTCTATAGGTAAACGGCGAGATAGGAAATTGAATGCAAAGTAGCACGTTCGTCGACGAAACGAACGTCGCGCTCTGAGCGAAGTTTATTTCGGGAAACTCCGGGGGCGAAAGTTGCGGAATAGCTTCAACCGATAAACGTACACGCTTGCTCCGACGGCGGATATCTCTCGAAGTCTTCGAACTTTGCACGGAGCTTTAACACGCCGGTAGGTGAACGTTATCGCGGGACCTCGGCGCATTATCTTGCTCTGGAATCCTGTTAAATCGGATTCATTCAACCGCAAATTCGGCCGGTGAAATATCGAAATTCGCCAGAGGCTGGATGACGTCAAGTCCCCAAACATTATTCCCAGCCCATGGCGCGAGTTTGTTGGAACTCTAGAGACGATTAATCGATAGGGCTCGTGGCCACGAAGCCTCTCTTCTTCGCCAATCATAAGTTTATTTACAGGTGGGAGAAGAAGAGTCCATTTTACGAGGTCTTCTTTAGTTACAACTTAAAAATATTACGATACATATTTTTTACTTGTACGTTTTTTCTGTTGACTAATTATGTAGCGTCGTAACTCATAGCGCTACCCTTCATTCGATACAGCAGCGCTGATATCCGATGAAATCTGTTGGAGACGACGAATGAAGCAAGAAGCGCGCTGCTCATAGCTCATGCTGTCTAAAATGACGTCGTTCGAGTCCCGAGAACGTCGAGCTGACACGCCGTGGAGGAGATACCCAAGGCAATTAGTACAATAGGAAGTTAATTTCGCGGGCAGGTGTTAATCAGCGCCAGTTCGTCTTTCGTGCCTCGTCACGGCACGGTACCGTGTTATCCCATTTCTTCCTCTTTCCCGGGTTCAGCCTCGCCGCCTGTCCTCTAACCTCGTTCTACTCGACCCGACCGTGCTTTCTTGCCTTATTTTCTACCTGGCCGCGCGGAACTTTCGCGATAAAAGCACCGAAACTCTTTTAACGGGTGCTAAATTGAAACACTACTGCAATAAAGTGCTACGACCCCGTGACTGCCTCTACAAAGAACGTTCAACCCCACGAACTTGGTTTCTCCTGAATACACGGGGTGGTCCACTTTTGTCTTCGTACGGTGTTGTCTTCTGTACTCGATTAAAGGTAACGCCTCGGTTTGTCTCGAAAGGGTGGTGTCATTGTCGGGACACTTTCGTTTCCGTTAGAGTCACTCTCAAGATTTAGACGAAACCCTGCTCGTTTTAATGTCACGAAAAATCGCACGTTCGCCAACGAATATTGGCCATTCCCATACTCCTTCTTTTGGGCATTAATTTCCAGTTCCCTCGTTCCTCGAATTCTTTGTCTTAATTTAAATGTCGACCACCCTCCTAGTACGTTTTCCAACGAGATTTCGTGAATGTTTTAATCGTATCCTAATTTTCCAGACGCTTCGCAGTAACAGGGAAAGGGGAAACTGTATGTATATGTTGAATGCAGCGACCCGAGTAGCTTCGGGTCGTATATCTTGAACGCGAGCAAAATTCGGGGATCTTAATCCACGATGAGAGTCGGGTGCGTACTAACGGTAAAGCTCTTCATAGAGACAACTATATCCTGTACGTACAAACGCGGGGGACGAAGAGGAGCCCGGGGCCGGCCGGGGGAACAGACGAAGGGATGCTCCAACTTTGCTCAACTCTCTTTGGTGGTAGCTGCGAGAGCAGCCAGAGGTGGGGACAGACTTGGAGGCGTTCGGGAAAGTTCGCTATTTCTTCAAAGAAGAATGAGTACTCCCGTCTCGGCGAGCTTGCACACGTAACAGGGTAATTCTGCGAGCAGCGAGGTGTCTTGTTCTTCGAGCACTCGTCGTGGAACCGCGAAACGACGCTGTACCGCTTCTTGGCCCAGTTGTCTGCATTGTTGTGTTACCGTAAAAATGTCGCGAATACTTTTGCTCGATTAAAGTGTCCTTTATTTTTTATTGATAAGTTTTTTGAGCATCGACGATCAGTGATACTTAAGAAGATTCTTCTTTGAGTCTTAGGCGGAAATCGGAGTCAAACCTTGTGTTTAGTTAGAATTCATTTGTTTCAACCCAGACGCGAGGCAACGATTATAAGCGGAATAAAACGGTGGCAATGGTTTCATTTACTAGGAAAGTCTTATCGACGAAGCATCATCCCCGATCCGATTAGATCGTAAAATCCGTGACGGCACAGTTTAAGATTTCGCTATAAATTCTGGCCGATAAACGATCTCGTGCACATTCGCAGAACACTTTGTCGCGTATATAAACATCAGGGTGTACGTAACAAGCGAACCGAGCCAGTTCGAATCGCTTTCGCGACAATCTGACCTCGTGTCCGACACACCGGTGCCAGCTCGGCATCACGATAAACCTGCCAACACGAGATTCGAGAAGAATAATCGAGTGTGCAGGTGTGCTTCCGTTCGATTAGACGATTCTCAAGTGTGACGGAAGGTGAGATCAAAGCGAGAAGTTTGCTCCGATTGTTTGCCCGACAATTATTTTATTTTAGGATTTTAGGATTTGCTGTATGATATAATACAGGGCAATCTTCCTAACGATCTTATGGGAGAGCTTTGTACCTAAGTATACAGGAAAAAACGATTTGAGATCACTGTATACGTGGCCGTGGGTGTATGTAATTAACGAAGTATACGCACGGATGTAATTTCTCTAATTATATTATGTTTGTCGTCGCACATCAAATAATAACAGTGAAAATACCTCGCATTGTCAAGTAAATACGGTGGCCATCGCTACAATTGTCCGTAGCCGACTTTATTAGATCGCACTCCTCGGAGCAGGTACGTTCCTGACTAACAATTGTATAAACAATTAAATTCACGCGAGTTTAATAATATCGTGCTCCATATTGTAACTAAATATTCAACATTTTCATGCCGTTTACAGTGTCAGGTAGGTACTGTTCGCACTTCAACGTTATATATTAGAGCCAAGGAACAAAGGTAGGTCAAATTTCTGTTAATAAAATTAGAATTAAGCTGTATTCGTTATCTGTTATTGGAATATAAATTTTGCATTGGAAGATGCACTTTGCAAATTTGAGAGAAAATTGCGTTGTGTCGCGTGGCTTATTCGATGCGTAATTTATTGTATGTATTTCTCCACTCCTATCGTAGATACGCGTTATTTGATCCCGGTATTGAAAAACACGTAGAAGAGTTTCGGGAATAAAACCATAGATCGCATAAAATTTCAAAGACTAATATCATGCAAACTTATTAATCTGAAATCCGTACAAGTAACTTACGTACATATAATATTTCCATGTTTTGATGGACACGAAAAGTGAAGCTCGTATGGAATACAATTTATCGTGCACGCTTTCACGGAGCTGCAGTGCGCGTTCAGTTTCATCAAGATTTAATCATTTTTAGAAAGTTGTACGTAACACGTAGTGATGCGCACGAGACGAGACGAAACGAGATTTCTACGATCACTAGTAACACTAATACGGTCCACCGTTGTTTTATAGAATGACAAATGTAAAATGAAATCAACCGAGGATTATGGTTGGTCGTGTAGAGGCGATACGGATGAAGATCGAGTGATTATCTCCGAAGTTGTAATGAAATGTATTCCAACGCACTGCAGTAAAAAAGAGCGTTCTGTTTTAAAAAATAGACGCGTTCCGTGTAGAACACCGTTCAATCTGTAAGATAAGTGAGTTCACTGGTGATTTTATTCTCCGTTCTCCATAGGTAAGAATTGAAACCTTTAACGTTTCACCCTCCATTCAGAGGCGAAATTGGAAAATTATTGAGAGGCGAATCACGCACTATGTACGAAGCGTCTCGCGATTCGATTTTCAATCCCCGAAGCGCCATCGCTCAGTTTAGGTAAAATAACAGGCTCTCTTGTTTCTTCTTGTTTTTATACAATTCAATTCTTCCCTGCTTCAGGGTAAAGAATACTGCCGATAACGACGCTTTTCTTCTTTATAAACGAGAGAGTATCGCATTACTTTTCTTAGTAATTGAACAGGTTAGTTCAATTGTACGATTTTTTACCATGTTTCCATTCGAGTAGACTTTTGAACGTAACCATACGAGGGATAGGTTCATTGGTATTTTTTTTATTGTCTCCGCGAACAACAGCGTTCTTTCCATGTTTAAGTCCGACAGCCTCGTGGGAAAGCTCGCGAAAGTGCTCGGATGGGATCGATGTAGCGCAATGTTTTACATGACCGGGAAAACGTGGAACCGACGATGGTTTCGCAGATTGGTCTGTAAACAGAACAGCATTCGTCGCTTCTGCCATGGGATACGTACTTTATTACGAGCTTCGAGTTCTGTTCAAACAAGTCTCACTTCACTCGTATCGCGTACACGCCGATACGCTTTAATATACGTACGTCGTGTCTCCTTTTGCTCGTCATTCTTGTAGGGTTATGAACTTCAGAAGCTGAGTCCTTGCAATTTCCACGAGAAAGAACAAGATGATGAAAACGCGACGGGCAGCGTCGTTTACCTGGGAAGCGAAAAATAATATTAAAATCAATTCTCTCTTCAGAAGAACAGCAAAACGATGAGTTAAACTCTGCTTAATTCTTTGCGGACCGCTGCATATATCAATTATAGCGAAATCCCTGGAAAGCCTTTGACGGGTATGTGATTCAACGCCAATATCGTTCCTCGTGGCGCGTTTTTTCATTTTTGTCAAAAAGCAACGCGATATTCGCTCGCTGGACCCCGTGGCTGCTCGAAACGTCGAGCTGTCGAGGCACGGAAAGGATGTGTCGATTTTTATTGCGCTGATTTTTGAGTTATCGGAGACGTGATTGCGAGCGGGCCAATTAAATGTTTGTCGGAAGCCATTCGTCATCGTTC